ACCCCCCCCCAGCGTATCCTGGTTTTCAAGTACCCCAGCAGAGATAGGGTTAAAGGTAATCTGCAGTCTGCACATTTTATTTTTTTTTATAAATTAATACTTAGGATTTGAAAATGTTGCAAATTTAAATTCCCTGTGTCAAGAGCTTTAAAAAAAGAAAAAAAGATCATATTTTGCAAAGTTTTCAAAGTTTTCATATTTTTGCAAATCACAATACACCCCCCTCCCACAAAAAGGTTATTTTGGGCAGCTCGGAGACGTCAGTTGAAATAGAGTTAAGTTCCGAAAATTTTCTTGTTCTTTATTTTGAAGTTTGTCAAATTGTTGCAAAAAGTCATTTAAATATGGGACAACAATGTTTACTTTGGTAAAAAATGGATCTGACTGAGAAGTAGTGCTTTCGAACTATCAAATGGCACCCCGTTCTAAAAATGGCACCCGTTCTAAAAATGGCACCCGTTCTGAAAATGGCACCCCTAATATTAAATTCAAATCAAAAACATTAACACCTTCCCCCTCCCCCAAGCTTGTGTTTTTGTTTCCAATGTCTTAAAAACAATTTTAAAATTTTTCTTTGAGAAACTTTGAAGTTTACAATGTTAGAGAAAAAGGATTTACTCATCGGCGTAAATCTTTATTTAAAAAAGCAAGTCATTTTTGTAGAAAATAAGTTATATTTTTTAAAAATATAAAGATTGATAATTTATTCATGCTTGATCAGGCAAAGCTTTAAGTGTAAAGTTGTGAATAGAGAATTGCCATCTTTGCATGGAGAATAACTTGAAATTACGTTTAATCTTAAAGCATACAAAACAGGAATTCAACATGTATCGCACTGTGAGGAAACAATTAAATGATGTTTAATAAAATGTAACATTGCAAAAATAAATTAACGATTAAAAAAAAATAATTTCACAGCAAATTTGCTAAGAATTAAATAAAATAAATACGTGGTAAAACATTGTATTACCTTTTAAACCAAGAAATTCTTAAATTATTTCACAAGATAATAAGATTTTTGTTGTCCCAGCAAAGGAAACTTCAGCTGAATAATTCCTCTTTTAATAGCTTTTAACAATGATACCAGGATTGTTATCATACCCTAATTATTTTTTAATGTTGAGATTTTTTTAAACCCTTTTATTTTTTTTAAATCTGTATTTTTACGCTGGGAAGATTTTCATAAGATTTTTCCAACTTACCCTTTTTTCATGGACAGATTTCAAAGTTGGAGTGGCAAATTAGTTTTAATCTTTATTGTTATAAATCTTAAAATGAAACACAAATTGAATTGTCATTGTCTAACATCAAATGTTGTTGTCACAAATTGTACAATAATTTTGTTAATGTTTTCAAATATTAGGCTGAAAGACAAAGGTCCTTCTCTTAGCCTCGATTTGCAAGAACTGAAGAGAGAAAGAGAGAGAATGAGAGAGAGAGAGAGCGAGAACTTATTCTAAAGCTTTCTCCACCGGTAGAAGTCCACCGTTTCTATTCTCCGTTTCCCCCGAAGGTATTGCAAATTATACTTTTATTATTATTATATCTAATATATTACTGGAGTACGTGATAAATTTATTGTATTAATTAGTCATATATTCTACAGAACAATAGGATATATTGGACTGTCGCCAGATGAAAATTATTTACACCATTAGCAAAGCAATTTCCAGAAATTTGTCTTTGTTTAAGAACTAAGTATACTGAGTTGTGATTATACTAGAAACATGAGATCGGAACTTCTGGTTAATCTTGATGTTCTGCTCGATCTCGATATCAAATGTGGGAACTTTCACATTTGAGGAGCAGTGAGCAGCGACCGAATTTAATGAATTTAAGCCACGTCTCAGGATCCTCCAAAAACAGGTTTCAATTGAGCGCCGGCTTAAGTCTTGAAAAATTGAATACAATTTTAAATGGAGCCAACCTTATTTGAGCCGCAGCTTAAATTTAAACCGCGACTCAAATTCTTTAAATTCGGCCTCTTATCTCTCAATTAAAGTTATTTCTGCAGGGTATAAACACTACGGGATATCGAAGAGAAATCAAATGAACTGCAAAAGATGAAGATAAATGCTTGATCTTGAGAAGTTGAGATTGACAACAAACAAATTCTGACTTAAGGGAGCTGTGTTTTATTTCATCGGTTGTATTGGTATTTTTTATCGAAGTCACTTGATTTAAAACTTGTAGAGGTTTTAAGACTGACATTTGAGATTTTAAATAACATCTCATTTATATTAAAAATATCAAAAGTATGCTTGGACTGTCAAAACTCCCTTTGTTCAGAGAAAAATGTTAGAACAAGCAATATATATATAATTCATATCTGATCAACCAACTATAATTTTTAAGGGTACCGTTGTGCATCAGCCAATTTTCGGACCTGATAAAATACCAGGGTTACTATAATGGAATATTTTACGAACAATTTATGATTTACAAAGAATCTAATTTATTCATCAATTTTCGTTAAACACTATTGTTAAACTTTCTATAAAAAGATATTATTTTTTCCAATTAGCGGCTGTTAATAATTTTCATCATTCATGAGAAGAGACATAAAAATCTATTCTAGCAAGAGACAATTGGGATAAATGCCGCCTTAAAGGGAAAGTAGAGGGGAGGAAGGTCAGCCACAACGATTTCTAGTCCGAGCCAAATTCTCCCAATTTTCTCGTCCGAGCCACCTCGAAATCCTCGTCCTTCAATTATTATATTGTTTCTAATCTTTGAAGATAAAACTATTCTTCTAAAAACTGGCCACGTTAGGGCAAAAAATATGGGGAAGACTAAAATATTGCAATGATACTATCATGTTGGAATCTTTAGTGACATGAGAATGATGTCAAACTTTATTCAAGTAAAACTTAAATCTCTTCTGCCTCCTTAATGTAGCTAACCTTCGCGATATAAAATAAATAGCAAAATATTTGGCATACCTCTGCCTATAATTTTTTCCGTGGAACAACCCGTAAAAATTATATGGTTTTCACTTTAATTATAAAAAAGATTAAACTTCTATAAACTCGTAATTATTTGCGGCATTCTACACCAGGAATATCTGAAAATGCGCGTAAAAAAGGTAAACATATTCAAAGACATTGAACTCGAAAACCTTCATTCAATTGAAACTATTTATTTGATTTACAAAAATTCAATATTTCATTTATGCTCTAACGTGGCCCGATTCTTAAAAAATAGTCATATTTTGGAGGATTAGACACTTAAAAAATATTATTGGAAGGACAAGGTTTTCGAGGTGGCTCGAATGAGAAAATGAGGAGAATGTGGCTCGGACTAGAAATTGTTGTGGCTGGCCTTCTTCCCATCCTTTGTAGACGTAATTTCAAGTCACTCAAAGAGAATGTAGATTGTTGAAATCAGAGCAGTACCTATACACCTAGCTTTACAATGAAATTTCATTTGTGACTTTAAGGTAATGTTTCGCTAAAACATTTTACCTAAAATCTGAATATAATTCCACAAAGGTTGAGACTTTAAAGATGGCTAACTGAAGCTATTAACAAGTCATTATTGTGCATATATGTTGCCACAAAAAAGTGTAAGTGATTAAGTGAGGTAGGCTTAAAGGTCAAGGCGTTGCGACACTTTAAATTCGACCCAGTCTTGAAAATGTGGACGTGTATTCAAGGCAAAAGACCAAATTCAACCTAAAATGGTCATCTACAGTGTTTCATATTGTCATAAAATTCTTATTCCTGTATTTTGGATATATTAAAGATCTCTCACATTTTTCTATTCCAACTGTGAGGTGTTGATTATTGATACCAATACTCAACACTTTGCCACAGCTTTCTTCATTACTTATTAAACCTAGTATTCAAGTTAGAAAGTATATTCTGAATAGAAATCAAAGAAAGGTGCAGAAGAATAAACATTGCTTGAACACGTAAAACTAAACTAAATTGTAAATAAATAAGATTAAAATATTTTGTATGTTATTGATCATTACTCCTTTAATTGAAGAGCTATTGAGAATACCAAAAATGTTTTAAATTTTTTACAAAGGAATTGAGTTTTTGTCACAAACTCATTTTTTCTAATCCCTATATCTTTGATACCCAATGTTGTAGACCTTAGATATTTCAAACTATGAACTCTGTTAAATCAAATAATCTAAGTTTAAAATATCAAAAATTTACACCATCAGGTTGCAAAAATATAGAGATTATATAATTGAGTTTGTGACAAAGTTTTATTCCTTTTCTTTTCTTTTTACTTTGTGCGTAAAATAAGAACTAGATCTTTGACGACAGAAAGTCGTCCCACTACCAGTCAATACGACCTTGGTACCAGTGATGTAGAATAAATCTTGCCTTCTCCTCCTGTGTAGTTTGAAGTTTAATTAATTTACCAGTGAAATGACGCATTTTATGACGCAAATCATTAATCTTATATAAACACATTTTAATCAGAAAAAGATTGACTATAAAAATGAAAGAGAATAGATTATATATTAGAGTGGAAATTACTAGAAAAAAAGCTAGTGTACACGCGGCCATTTTGTAGTACTGTTTCCATACTGCAGGTGTACTTCACATATTTATGCTATATAACCTTTTGGGCCCTGGAATATCATTTTATAGAAAATCTGAAAATTAATATTAAAAGGAAACCAAATGATGAAATAGGCTGGTTTCATAATTG